CGACGTCGCGTAGCCGGGTCGGCAGCGCAACCTGCCGAGCCTCCTTGTACCCCACCGCCAGCGACGGAGATGCTCTTTCGTTCCTATGGCAACCCAAACAATATTACCTCGACTTAAACGGATTCAGGCAATATTAAAACCAGCCTCTTTAGGAATTCCTGGTGTTGGAGGGGCTGAGAATTTTAATTTCGTGTAATTCGAGCTGACACCGTGTTTATGAGCCGCTCGCTGAATGTTTTCTTCAATTAGGACAACGCGGAGCGGATTTGTTTCCGGGGCTTAGCTGGGAGACGGGAGAGCGCGGGCCAAAAAGTGTTCTGGAGTTACACCACGCTTCCCTCACCCAAGGCCAAAAAATTCCATTTTTCCATGGAAATCTGGCACACGATGGCATCTTCAAATATGGCTCGCTAATTGCCTCGTGCCGACGGCAGCGGGAGGAATCGGCGTGGTCTCCTTTCCCGGCTCCGACGTTTGTTTCCGCGTTTCCTCGTTCTGCTCCGTCCCCTCCTGCGGTAGGAGAACGTCATGCTCAAAGTTTTCCCCTCCCTACCTTGGCTAAACGATATTCCAGATGTTTTCCTCAAGCAACCAGCGTGATGATCAAGACTAGAAATAGGAAAAAAAAAATCTGGGAATGTTCCATATCTCCATGGATAAAAATAATTCAGAAAACACAAGTGTGAAACAAGACAGGGAGTTTTCCGTCGGTGTTCTCCTAAACGATCCTACTTGGGGACAGGTCGGGGTGTTGATGTGAAGCTTTTCTTTGTCAGGTCTATCATAGAATCATAGAATGGTTAGGGCTGGAAGGGACCTTCAAAGGTCATCTAGTCCAACCCCCCTGCAAGGAACAGGGATATCTCCCACTAGATCCGGTTGCTCAGGGCCTCGTCCAACCTGGCCTTGAACGTCTCCAGGGATGGAGCATCCACCACCTCTCTGGGCAACCTGTTCCAGTGTTCTACAACTATGTTCTTAAGGTGTCTGTCCCTGGATTCGGGGCTGAGCCAGCTTGGCCAGGGTGTGTTGGAGGAGTAGACCCATCTCTGAAAGATCTGGTAGGACTCAACGGGAGCTTGGAGCTCGTCTAAAGTCAAATGACACTTGTGTCACTAGACTCAGCTACACGGCAGCATCCAACGAAGGCAGGCAGATCCTTCTTTGGGGTCTGAGGTGCAAAGAAAAGTCAGGATTCACTTTGAAACCCGTCGTTTGACGGACAAGGGACAGAAACCTGGGAAGAAGAACAGTTTGATGGCCCAAATTGGTGTTAACTGCTTGTAAGTGGTTTTTGAGAAGATAAAGACATGACAAAGTCTAGTTGCTGGGCACGGAATAAAGATTTGAACTGGAAATAAGGAATGAGGAGCTAGTTAGTGTCTGGAACCTTTTCCAAACGGATACCGGCAGATCCTCCTTTGCTTGGAGTCTCCAGACCGCGACTGGTTGGCCTTCGCTACCCCCAGTGAACGGGCTTGAGGTGGGAATCCCTGGGCGAGGTTCTCCAGGTTGCAACGAGCTACATCACCATTACCTTCCATCTGGGCTTCAAGTCCAGGAACATTGACGACTTAATGTTTAGCAACAGGCCACACGTTCCTGACCGATCCCAGACAGCCGCCATCGCGGATCCGCTCTATCGTCGGGTCTTTTTTTGTTCTTTTTACTCTTTCACTTCTGCTGGAACAGCAGGACGTTGGGGACAGGTTTGGATTCGGCCCAGATTTGGATTGGGCTCGTGCCTGGAACACGCTCCCGGGTTTGCTCCTTTGTAAGACCATGAGAAGTCGCTCGTTACTCCCAACTCTTCCAACTCAAACTCAACGATCGTTTTTCAAGCGCGACTTACCGAAAGACAAAGAGGGAAAGGGGGGGGGGAGGAAGGAGAGAGAAATCCCACACCATTCCAGTTGGAATGTCCCAGACCCTTCAGCCGAGAGCCACCGCGCAGCGCAAATCCACGGTGGTATTTGGAAGGGATGAGCCCACCCCTGTAAGCCTCTTCATCCTGCTCCACAGAGTTTGCCAGGAGGATTAACCCAGTCTTGTTCTCAATCCCAGTTTATGAGTTCCCTGCTGGTGGGGAAGATCCTGTGTGTTTAAACAACAGCCTAATTAATCCCTATTTTATTACTTTCTCTTGTCAAGTGGCTAAATAGAAGCTGTCAGCCGGCAGCCACCGCCGCTCACATTTGTTTGGATCCCAAATTACTTCATCAGAACCATCTGCTCCGTACGCCGGGCGCTCAGCAGTTGTTTGTTTCTCTCTTTGGACACGGCGTGGGGCACAAACAGCCTCCCACGGGGCTGCTCCGGGCCCTGGGGATGGTCCTGGAGGGGTCCACAAAGTCCTCTCGCTACGAGCAACCTCACAAAGCCGGGCAGTGAACAGTCCCGGAGAGGAAGAGGGGACACAGAGCTCTGTCCTCTTGGACCAAGCAAGTTCATGTTCCTTCCTGGAAGGTCAGAAAGTCCCAAAGCCCAGTTGGGATGTATGTTTCTTGCTGGGATGTGCTAGCACAGTTCCAAACATCCAACCCCTTCTTCTCTTGGCTTCCTGAGCCTCAACCCAGGGCTGAGCTTCATAGAATCCTAGAATGGTTTGGGTTGGAAGGGACCTTCAAGAGCATCTCGTTCCAAACCCTCTGCCATGGGCAGGGACATCTTATAGAATCCCAGAATGGTTTGGGTTGGAAGGGACCTTCAAGAGCATCTAATTCCAAACCCCCAGCCACGGGCAGGGACACCCTCCACTACACCAGGTTGCTCCAAGCCCCATCCAACCTGGCCTTGAACAACTCGAGGGATGGGCAGCCACAACTTCTCCAGGCAACCTGTTCCAAGTGTTTCACCACCCTCATTGCCTTCCCTGCCCAAGTTGTCTAACCACCAGGACCTTCCTTCGCAGGCTGTTCCAGACCAAGTGCAGCAGCTGCTTGAAGGCCATCGCCCCCTCCGAGCTCATCATGCGGGTGCTGGAGAACGTCTACCACGTTCACTGCTTCTACTGCTGCGAGTGCGAGCGGCGCCTGCAGCGGGGGGACGAGTTTGTGCTCAAAGAGGGGCAGCTGCTGTGTCGCAGCGACTACGAGAAGGAGAAGGAGATGCTGAGCGCTATCAGCCCGGCACCCACCGAGTCCGGTGAGGGACCGGGGCTGGAGCGGTGCTGAGGGTGGGGAACCAGGGTGAACCTTGTAGAGGGCAGGTACCACCAGGTCCCTACGTAACTATCAGGAAACTTCAGTGGGAGGAGATGTAGGTAGGTGGGGGTTGTAGGATCTTCTCCCCTTGGTGATAGGCAGCCAAGGGGGTACCAGGCTGCTGAGATCTACTCGGTTGATCTGGAGGGGTTTGGGTGGGTGTCTCTGAGATGTGACAGAATGGATGACACGGGGTCAGGGTGGGTGGCCCATCAGCTCTGTCCTGGATTTGACGGCATTCGCCGTGAGCTTTGCCGGGTTCGTTCCACCCTTTGGCTTTAAATCGCACCTTGGAAGGTGCCAAACTCTTGAGTTTCTCTGAATCCTTGACCCTGGAGATGACCCAGAAAGTACCAAATCACCACTACCCATCTTCCATTGCAGTGAAAAGCGAGGACGAAGACGGTGGCCACTCGCACGGCAAAGGCAGCGAGGAGAACAAAGACCACAAGCGTTCCAAGCGTCCCCGCACCATCCTGACCACCCAGCAGCGCCGGGCGTTCAAAGCCTCCTTCGAGGTTTCCTCCAAACCGTGCCGGAAGGTACACGGAGGCCGCTCGGCACTGCTGGCTTGGATCCTTTTAAGTGCAACTTAAGTTCTGATGGAGTTCTCCGGGTTTTTGGACAGGTAAGAGAGACCCTGGCAGCCGAGACGGGCTTGACCGTGCGGGTGGTACAAGTCTGGTTCCAGAACCAAAGAGCCAAGGTGAGTGACGGTTCCCGTGTTGTGCAATGCCGGAGGGATCTCCCAGGCACTCGTTCCATCGAAAGGAAACGGAGAAGAGGTTAGAAAAAGACAAAATGGTTAGAAGAAGGGAAGATCTGATACACAGAATCACCGAATCCCAGAATGGGTTGGGTTGGAAGGGACCTCAAAGATCATCCAGTTCCAACCCCCCTGCCATGGGCAGGGACACCCTCCACTACACCAGGTTGCTCCAAGCCCCATCCAACCTGGCCTGGAACACTGCCAGGGATGGGGCAGCCACAGCTTCTCTGGGCAACCTGTCCCAGTGCCTCACCACCCTCAGAGGGAAGAATTTCTCCCTCAGATCCCATGGAAATCTCCCCTCTTCCAGTTCAAAGCCATCACCCCGTGTCCTGTCACTCCACACCGGTGTCCAAAGCCCCTCTCCAGCTTTCTTGGAGCCCCTTTAGGCACTGGGAGGTGCTGGAAGGTCTCCCCGGAGCCTTCTCTTCTCCAGGCTGAACACCCCAACTCTCCCAGCCTGTCTCCAGAGCAGAGGTGCTCCAGCCCTCCCATCATCTCCGTGGCCTCCTC